CCCCTTTTTCCCGCGGCCGTCCACACCCACGCGTACACCACAAGAGGGGCCGGGGCCTCCCTCGAGCTGCGGCCTCTCGGCCTCCTCCTCCCCGCGCGGCAGCTGGTGCCTCCCCGGCCCTACGGGGCTCACGCGCACGGCACAGCCACAAGATGTCCGCTCTGACGGAACGACTGCCAGCTGCCACGCTCCGCCCCTCCCCCCCGCCCCTCTCCTCTCCTCTCCCCCCCCACCGCCTATTCACCGCCGCGTATCCGTCCGCCAACGCCGCCGTCGCGAGCGCGGGGCGAGCCCGGGGGGTGGTTGGGAGGGAGCGGTTTGCTGCCCTGGTCCAGGCCGAGCGGACGCGCCACCCTCTCTCTCCGCCGTCCTCCGGTCGGAACGGCACCGCCTCGACTACACCGAGCGGAGGTCGGACCCGGAGGGCGGGGGACGGAGGCGGGTCATGGGCTGAAAGGGTGCGGGCGGGGGGGGGGGGGGGGCGGGGGGCGGGGGAGGGGGGGAGGAGAGGGCAGACGAGCGGCGGAAACGCTGAGACTCAGAGAAGCATCGAGAACCGGAAGGAGACCTTAGGAGGAAGGTAATGGCAGCGGCAGCTGCGCGGTGCAGGGCCCCCTCGCCCCTCCCTACAGTGGGGGGCCCCCCTGGCTTCCTCACTTGGGATGGCGGCGGCGGCGGCGGCGGCGGGTCTCGCGAGAACCTCGTGGCAGGCGGACCGGAGCTCCGGGGCTGCAATGACTTAAGGGCAGTTTTGTGCTCTCTTCCTGGCCGGGGCCCGCCCCCTTCACCCAGCAAGGTATCGCGAGACGCGGCGGGAACCTCCTCCCCCCCCCCCCCGGTCTCGCTGGGCGGGACTTGGGCGGAAGGCACCGCCCCTGCGTGCTTATGCTGGTGGGCGGGAGAGGAAGTGGAATTCCCCAGGCTGGCCGGTGCGCGCGCCGACGCGGCCCTCCTCCCTCGGGCGGGCGTCCAATCGGGAAGGCGCTGTGGGAGGGGCCGCCGGCCGGAGCGGGTTCCTGGCTTCCGGTGGCCCAGGTGATGGGGATCTCGTCTCCCGTGCTCCACCGGGCGGGTTAAGCGGCGGGAGGAGGCTCCCCTCAAATTAGGAACGGTAATTTAAAACAGACCCAGGCCGAGTGCCGACAGCACCGCCACGTGCGGGGCGCCGGGCCTTGCAAACCCTCGCCGGGCCGCGGCCTGCGGGGCCCGGCGTTGGCGGAGCCTTAACAATGCAGCTTAATTGTGATCGGATTGCGTAGGGCCTTGCCCCCCACCCCCCACCCCCCACCCCCCACCCCGACGTCAGGCACGGTTAGGTGTGGAGCGGCAAGAGGAATTCACCTTAGAATCTTCTTTCTCCCGTTGCTGGCTCAGTTTTGAACCCCAAAGTGGCAAAACGTTAGGGAATCAGTCTGGATTAAATTCGGTGGGTGAGAGCTCTAAAGTGTTTTTAATCTGTCGTGCTTAAGGTGAAGAGGGCCGTTTGTCATCTACTGTATCCTTTGGTTAAAAACTAAGACGTTAATTTTTTGAAAGGCATTTAAAGGCAGAACGGATCAACCTGCTTTAGGGTTTTCTAACACCCATGAATAACCCCACTTAAAGTGGAAATCCTTAAGGACTACATGGAAAAAAGTTGAATTTTGAAAAACCTGTTGCAGACAGTCGTCCCTAATTAAAATGATAAAAAGTGATGAAGGATCTAAGAATGAGGGTATATATCGTGTGTATATATACACATACATAGCTGCATATTATACACACACACAAAATGTCACTAGAGCAATTAGTGGGATACAGCTGCTTCAACTAGTGCCCACAGGAATCACCTGTAGTTTAGTTTAAAATGCTGATTTTGATTTAGTAAGCCTGAGTAGGAGCCCGAGATGATACATTTACTGCAAGCTCCCAAGTGATAGAGATTATTTGAACCATTTCTGAGTACTTACTTCATGCTCTCCTGGCCACTGACACTTCCTCCTCCCTGAAAACAACCCATTGTTCTCTCTTCAGGCTAACCAGTTAAATAAAGTAGAAGCAAAGCATTAGGCGTGGGGGTGGAGGGAGAAACCCAGATGGGAGTTCTCCTGACTGCTTTTTTCTGTTTAGGATACTGGTCTGGTTCCACATCTTACAGCTTTGTTTCTTCACCACCAAGCTAGATGAGTAATGCCTGCCCTCTCTCAGAGTTGCTGTGGTCCAAATGTCATAATGTGAAAGGATACTGTACAGGTTATATCAGTGTTTACTCTTTTATGGTAGCATACAAATAATGGGTCTCCCTGTGACAGTGTCACATACATACCTGCCAGACTTTGTTCTTGTTACCTCTACACACACTGGTACTCCTCCTTGCTATCAGCCACAGCTCAGACATTTAACTGATCTAATACGTGACTGTGAATATGAGTTATATTGAAGTAATAATATACATTTCTAGAGAGATTATACTTACGAAAAGTATGTACCAGGCACTGTTATTTTTACAAATAAGCACTTTCTTACAAATGAAGAAACTAGGACCCGGATTGTTGCTAAACCAATGGGACAGACCGATTGAGTGGCAGAAGTGGAATTTGAGTGCAGCTGTTTAACTGCAGTGTATTTACTGAATGCAGTTTTATAGAACAAGATGTTTTATATTTGTGTTTTTAATTGACATCTGAATCTGACTTTTTTTCCATTTGTTTTGTACTTTCAGAAGCCGGGGTGCAATGATTGGTGGGAAACACTGGAGCCTACCACTCAGGAACTCTCAACATATAGGGAGGAGAATGAAGAAGTTTAAGAAACCAATTCCTGTGCCCTAATCTAACAAGTTTCAACATAAAAGTGCACTGAAACTTCACTGCTGTGCAACAGAGCACAGCATACTGGAACAAATGTGAGGTCAGAGTTCTTGTGACTAAAAATATGTGAGCAGTTCAGTAACGCTGTTGACCCTTCTCAAAATAATGTTTCATATGTAAGTACACATGTTTAAATACACACATATTGGAATTCATACTCTAAAGACATTTGAAGTGCGGTTCACAGTTTTAAAGAGAAAGCAAACATGGTATGAGTAAGTTCTGTAGACACAGTGAGTAAGATCAGGACTGGGGATACAGCTCAGTTGGTACAGTGTGTGTCTAGCACTCAAGCTCTAGGTTCAATTCCCTAGCACCTATAAACTGGATGGTAGCAGCATTCCTGTAACCCAGCACTTGGGGTTGGAGCAGGAGTGGACGTGGTGGAGTTTATCCTTGTATCAAGCTCAAGGTCTGCTTGGGAAATGTAAGATTCTTAACCCAAAAGAAATAAATATAAATACAGTAGGATCCAATAGGTTAATAAAGACCCAAATTTTGAAAATCATAAAAGAGAATGATACTGCCCGTATTTATTAGAATTGTAATGTGGTGATACAAAGTTACACACATTGAAAAGTAGGTTTGGCAAACACTGGTGTTTATCTCCTACATCATTAGTTGAAGAAATGTGAAGTTTTTCTTCACTGATTAGTCAAAAAAAAAAAAAAAAGATATAGTGTTTTAGCTGGACATGGTATTGAAGGCCTATAATCCCAGCCTTGGGAGGTAGAGGCAGAAGGATCAGGAATTCATGGTCATCCTTAGTTACATGAAGAATTTGATGCCAGAGGCTGGAGAGATGGTTCAGAAGTTAAGAGCTCTTGTTGCTCTTCCAGAGGACCAGATTCAATACAAAGATCTTCATGGTGGCTCACAACCATCCGTAACTCCAGTTCCAGTGGATTTGATGCCTTCTGGCCTCCATGGATACCAGGAATGCAAATAATATATAAATACATGGAGGCAAAACACTCATACATGCTTTGTTTTGTTTTGTTGTTTTTTCGAGACAGGGTTTCTCTGTGTAGCTTTGCACCTTTCCTGGAACTCAGTCTGTAGTCCAGGCTGGCCTCGAACTCAAAGAAATCTGCCTGCCTCTGCCTCCCGAGTGCTGGGATTAAAAGGCGTGCACGGGCTGGAGGGATAGCTCAGCTGTTAAAGGCTAGGCCCACAACCAAAAATATAAGAGTTCGGTTCCCAACACCCACGTCTATCCCTCCGGCTACCTTTTTCGGCTTACTCGGCACACAAAATTAAAAAGTAATACTGAAAAAAGAAACGAAAACTAAGTTAAAAAAAAAAGTTTCATCTCTTAGCCAGGCGGTGGTGGCGCATGCCTTTAATCCCAGCACTCGGGAGG